GCCTGGGAGTCCAAGGATTGCTGACGCAGACAATGCCAGCCAATTAGGAACTGCTATTTAGAAGAGATGAGTTCTTGGGACCAATGGGGCACGGGTGGAGGGTATTAAAGGTGCTTGTGTTCAGATGAGCTTGCTGTGGTGTTTCTCACCGATTTCAATTCTCATTGATTTCGAGCCACATCACCTCCAACCACCAAGGGCAGGTAGGGTAGGGAAGTGACTAGTCCAGGGTACAGGCAGCATCGCTGTCCATGATCTGAGGGCTTATTAGGTAGGAAGATAGGCCTGGACCACAAGGAGGGGGCAAAGCTGGAAATTCAGTGTATGCCTGCTGCGGTTAGTTTGCTTTGGGCCCCTGTAGTCCAACCCTCACCATTTGGATGGATGGCGGCCTCTTTTTGTCCCTGGAGTATATACTCACATGCATACCCTGTGCTACTTGCTGCTGGAGCCTTGAATGCCCAGCACATAACTGACTGCACCAGAGACACTCAGTGTGTCATTCGCTAAGAAACAGTCCTAGGAATTAAGGAGGTTTCTTTCCAGCACCCGAGAAATATGAGTGCCTAAGAACTCCCTGAGATAAATTAAAAATCCAGTCAAGGGTATAAAACCAAGTCCTACACTAAAGTGACACTCTAGGGCTAACACATTAGTTACTCTTCTGTTGCTGAGGTAAAATGGCATGACCAAAAGCAACTTACGGAAGAAGAAAACTTACAGTTCCAGAGAGACAGGAGCTATTGCAACAGGAGCTTAGCTAATGCTTAGCTGCAGGAGATAAGGGGCTGAGAGCTCACTCACACCTCGAGCCACAAACAATGAAGCAGAGGGCAGACTGGAAGCAGTGAAACGTTTTATTCTCCAAGCCGAGCTCCTGTGACACAGTCCACACTTCCTAAACCTCCCCACACAGCACCACCAACTGGGGACCAAGTATCCAAACGGCTAAGACTACAAGGGGACATTTCTCATCCAAATCGCCAAAAGATACCAAATGATTTTTGAAGGAAGGAAAGTTCTTGTACATACACGTCATAGACGATAAACTATGACTTTCTGGTCTGTGTGTGGGGGTGTCAGGGTTCCACATATTTAGATTGAGTTCTAGAGATTAAAAAATGGGTGGTAAACAGAAGGATGAAGAGGACTGTGGACTAATGACAGATGCGTTTCCCTTCCCATGCACAAAGTGACACATTTCTTTTCTTTTTTTTTGTTTTTCGAGACAGGGTTTCTCTGTGGAGCCCTGGCTGTCCTGGAACTCACTTGGTAGACCAGGCTGGCCTCGAACTCAGAAATCCGTCTGCCTCTGCCTCCCAAGTGCTGGGATTAAAAGCATGTGCCACCACCACCCTGCTGACACATTTCTCCTGCCAACCCTTCCTTTGCTGTGTCTTAGATGCCAAATGTGGCTACTGAACCTCTGGAAACCCTATCTACAACTGAGAAGCAGGACAGTCGTAGATGATGAGAGCAGAAAGAAAGGCAGGTTTCTTGGCTTACCTCTGAGTCCTGATCCAGAGTGGCAGCTCCCAGCACATGGGAACTCTTTGTAACTAAAGTGAGGGGACTCTGAAGCATTCTCTAAAATGAGACAAAAAGAGCAACTGATGTCTTTACAGGGTCACATGTCTCACAGCACGCAGAAATGAGGTCACAGAAATTGCTCGGAAGAACTAAAAGCAGGCAGTCAAATAGGATTTAAAAAAGTAGTTCCTAAGCCGGGCGGTGGTGGCGCACGCCTTTAATCCCAGCACTTGGGAGGCAGAGGCAGGCAGATTTCTGAGTTCGAGGCCAGCCTGATCTACAAAGTGAGTTCCAGGACAGCCAGGGCTACACAGAGAAACCCTGTCTCGAAAAAAAAAAATAAAAATAAAAAAAGAAAGAAAAAAAAAGTAGTTCCTAAAATTCTTTGTGGGAGAAGGCAAGTTTTAATTAGACCCCCACCCCCCAATGATCATTGTTTCGAGATATATAGTCAAACTAAAAGCCAGGTGGAGTTCTGAGTGGTATGGTGGGAGGCATATATACACTGATTTTTGTTGTCTTCTTTCTTTCTTTCTTTTTTTTTTTGACTGTACGTCATCAAATTCCCTTACTATGTAGAGACTACCCATACGTTCTGAGACCATAGAGAACCCTGACCAACACAGAAGTTGGTACAGGTAGTGGTTCTAGAGGAGCAGGAAGCAGAAGTGTAAGGATGAATCTTAAGAATCTGGAGTTGGTTTAATGATTCACCAGCACCTTCAACTACTGAAACCGCTCCAGATACTCGCTCTCTCCTGGGAGCTTGGAAAATACTGAAGGTCCATGGTAGGAAGTGTGTCACTGGGGGTGGACTTTGGGGTTTCAAATGCTGAAGCCAGGCCCAATATCTCTCTGCCTACCGCCTGTGGATCCAGCCACCTCTCAGGCCCCAATGAAGGACCAGAAGTAATACTGAGGAAGTCTAGAACATAACTAATAATTTCAGAAGTTGTTCAATAACAGTATTTTCAGAATGAACAGGAGATACCAAGAAAGGGATAATTTGGAGAAAGATTCCAAGTCTGAGAAACAGACATTTCAAAATAAAAGTAACTAATCATATACTCCATGTAAAATGACTTTCATCTTTTACGATATTATGTGCCATAATAAGGTAATGTAGGCCATAATGTTTTATGATGAAAATTTAGAATTAACTAAGGGACAGGGTTTGTTTTTTTTTTTAAAGATTTATTTATTTATTTTATGTATATGAGCACACTGTCGCTGTCTTCAGACACACTAGGAGAGGGCATCAGATCCCATTACAGATGGTTGTGAGCCATCATGTGGTTGCTGGGAATTGAACTTAAGATCCCTGGCAGGGCAGTCAGTGCTCTTAACCACTGAGTCAACTCTCCAGTCTTCTTTCCCTAAGAAACAGTTTTAACATAGATTGGGCGTATGCATTAAGGAAGAGAAAGGGTCTCGGAGAAAGGACACTGGACACTCGGGCTCCTTAAAGAGTAAGTACATCAAGTCCTTGATGACAGGTGCACCTTCAGTCCTTTTGATCCCCGGATCCAGTAGCTAACAAGTCAACAGTTGATCCAGAAAGCCAACAGTTTTTGGACCCTCACGTTCCTTAAGGGAGAGAACTAGGGGCTGGAGGCAAACCCAAACTCCGATGACCTTCGAAAAATCAGGCTGTTTCTGAACGGTGAAATGGAGTGAAGAAGCGCCACCATGAGCTCTCCTGCGGCCAGAAGGCAGCGGGCTGGGGGCTGGGAAAAGCGACATGAGTAGACACAATCCCCACATCAAGGCACAGAGCATGTGAAGGATCTTCTCCACATGGTCATTTACAGACTTTCTAGCCTAGATGGAGAGCAAATACCTTTTAAGTACTTACTAGACACAGGCCACATGACTTCAACCTGGCCAATGAGGAGAACCCATTCGACCTCGTACGTCTGATTGGCTAAATTCTAGGCATGTGACCAATCAGACTTCTCAGGCAGCACAGTTGGAAGTGGCCAAGGGTTACTGAGGCAGTTGGTGACTGTCTTGTCCTGATGGAGGCGGAGCTTTCTCTACTGAGACTCTAGCTACAGCAGTGGCACGGAGGTGGGAGGTGTGTGCGCACTGAGCACGAAGTCAGGAGAGGCGCTGTCTGGTTTACTCATCCAGCGCCTAGGTACGTGTTGTCTGCTGCGGTCTGCCATTAGTCTGCTTGCTCTCATGGATTCCCTCACCCTGTCTTGTTTGCTTTGGTAAACCACTTTGAGTTAGGTGTTAACAACACCAACCCTTGTTTCTTCTGCATTTTGAGCCACCCAAGCCCAAGTGCAGCACACTGTCTGCAGTGGCTCAGGGACCCCAAACCCCTGCACAGCACTCTGTGGGCCTTCTCAGGTAACCAGACCGCCGTCCCCAGTGGTTCCTCTTTTATGTTCAGACTCCTCTAGATCCTCAGATGCTGCATATGAGGGAACACTAGTGGTATTTGTCTTTGTGAGACTGGCTTGTCACATGTAACACAGTCATTTCCAGTCCAACTTATGTTCCTGAGAATGACACTTGGTTCTTATGGCTGAATATGTGGTTTTTGACCTGGATTCCTATGCATGCTGTATTCTTTATCAATTTGTACCTGTGTAACCATCCTTAAATTCTTGGAGGAACCCATTTCTTGGGTTGTTGAGTTTGGTGTGAGTATTAAGTATCATCATTAACGGTTTTCACATCTATGTTTATGGAGATAAACATAATTTTTTTCTGTTTATTGTATCTTTGTCTAGGTTTTGCACAGGGTATGTTGTTTTTGTGGAATGTGTTGGGGAGCGTCCCTTACCTTCTATTTTATGAAATAGTTTGAGAGTCATGTGATCACCTTTAAAGATCTAATAGAATACAGCCATGACTATATCTGGTTCCCGGGTTTTTTGTTTTCAGTTCTTGTTGTTGGAATTTCTTCATTAATATTTCAACCACATTGCTTGTTATTTATCTACCTAGGTAATTTGTATGCCTTTGTTCATATTTGGCAGGCCATATGTGTTTAGAAATTTGTCCATTTCCTCTAGTTTTACAACTTAATGGAGTATAGGTTTACAAAATATTTCCGGATGATTCTTTAGGTTTTTGTCATGTGCTACCATCTTGCCTTCTTTGGTGTCTGCTTTTATTAATCTGTGTCTTCCCTCTTAGTTTGGGCAATGGTTTTATCAATTGTGATTACTTCAAATAACTGACTCTGTTTCTTTGACCCTTCGTGTCACTCTCCTTGGTTTCCAGATCATCGATTCCAGCTCTGATCTTTATCATATCTTGTCATCTACTTTTTTCGGTTCTGTGACCTTGGAGTGTATCCCGAGGTTGTTTGACAAGTCTCACATTTTGCGATACAGGAATTTGTAGCTATACACTTTCCTCCTAGACCTGTTTTTAATTTTAAATAATCTGCTTTTGTCAGTGTTGTCATCGAAATCCCCAAGCAACTTGCAAGGGGAAGGGAAGAGGTGACGATGCAGCCGGAGCTGGAGGCCAGCCCCTCCGAAGAGGTGACGCTCACCGATCATTACATGATCCTCAGGACCTTGGGCAAAGGCAGCTTTGCCGAGGTGAAGCTGGCCTGCCACCTCCACACGGGGGTTTGTGTTGCTGTCAAGGTCCTGGAAAGGGGCGAGAAGAATGACTCTGTTATCATGACTGAAATAGACATCATTAAGTCACTGGACCACCCAAATATTATCAAGTTGTTCCACATCATTGAAACCAGAGCGCACACGTACATGGTGATGGAGCACGCCGCCGGGGGCGACCTGGTGAGCCACATCGAGAAGGTGGGCTGTCTGCAGGAAGACGAGACCCGCCGCATCTTCACCCAGATGGCGTATGCCGTCAACTACTGCCACGCAAACAGCATTGCTCACAGGGACATCAAACCGGACAACATCCTGCTGGATGGCAAAGGGAGTGTCAAACTGTGTGACTTTGGCTTGGCCATCAAAGTCACCTCTGGGCAGAGGTTCAGAGGGTTCTGCGGTACCCTTGAGTACTGCGCCCCGGAGATCTTCACCGATGTGGAGTATGACGCTCAGGCAAATGACATCTGGAGCATGGGAGTGGTTTTGTACACGATGGTGACAGGGCGCTTCCCATTTGAGGCAAAGACCTATTCCCAGATGAAGGAGAAGATGCTGGACCCCTCGTACTCCATCCCACCCGTGCTCTCGCCAGACATTGCAAACCTCATCATGCAGTTGTTCACTGTGGACCCAGACCAGAGGCCCAAGATCTGTGACATTACGAAGCACCAGTGGCTCAGAGGTGGTAAAGACCTCCCCAAACAGGCCTCTTCCTTTGAGGCATGCCCCAGCAACCCAGCTCCCAGCATTGTGGTGGCTATGTGGGCCATGGGTTACAATACCAAGGACATTAGAGACTCTTTACGTGAGAAAAAATTCAATAACATCATGGCAACTTACCTAATTTTAAAACATCAGTCACCTTGGGGGGACAATGCTAAGCACCTAGTGAAGCCTGTGCAGCCTGTTGCCATGACACCCATAGGCCCGCCCACCTTCCATCTCCCCCTAAAGAGGACAGGGAGCGAGTCTTCTCTTCACATCTTCACCCTGACAAACAGAGACCGCGTGTCTGACGATGCCATGCTTTCAAGGAAGAAGGGCTGTAAAAGTCCCAGCATGCCTGACATCCTGTGCTGCCAGCAGATGAGAACTCTCATTCCTAACAGAGATCCCTGGCATGCTCCTGTTGCTGCTCGGCTCATGAACAGCAGCTTTTGGGAGACCAGCATGACCTCCAAGCGTGTGTCCTTAGGTAACACATCCTCTGAGGATATGTTTTCTGAAAAATATTTGTCCTACAGAGCACCCCAGATTGCAGTCACCACTGAGAACAGCCCACGCACCCAGAATATGCCATCTGAAAAGGCACCCCGGAGTGTGACCGCCAGTGCCACACATGAGAATAAGAGGCACGGGTCCCATCAGGAAACATCTTCTGGAGAAAATTTCTCAGGTGTCCAAGTGCAGAGTGCAAAGACAGCCTCTTCCCACAGTCTACACCAAGGCTGGAATAGGGTGAAGAGGAGGATGGGGAATTGTGTGCGGAGACTATGCTGTTGCCTGCCAGCCTAACAAACAAGGGAGAAGAAAGTGACTCCAGTGGAGGGGGAAGTCAACGGAGTCACACCAAATGAGGTAAGCGGGGTGACAAAGTGTAGCTGCCTAGCAGCCACAGATGAACTGGGTTCACCTGAAAGGAGGGCTGGAAATGAAAGGCGAAAGAAACATGGAGCTAAGACAAAGTTCAAGGCTCAAAGTTTAATATTCAGCTCTTGTATAGATAGGTAGAGCCCCACCTAACCCATCCTTGTGTCAGCCGGATTATGTCATAAGTCAAGGTCAGCAGGCAATCTATTCTTCTAAGTTCCTGTAGGAAGTTGCATGTGCAGCCAGGAGGGATAACTCCACCTAGGTCCTGTTATAGCAAGATCAACTTCTTTCTGGCCTGCTCAAGGCTGGGGAAGGGCACCATAAAGTTCAGACTGAGGTGATTTATTATCTATGCATTTCTAATGTCATTTACAATTTGTCTTATGCTACCCATCCCCTTTATGGGGCATTCAAACTAACACCTCCATGAGTTCAGAAAGAACAGCCCCACAGCGTCACCTACTGTGTAACCTGAAAGGGTTTAGCTAGAGACTGCCAGCAGAGGGTGCGAGACTGCAGAGGCAGCAGGAAAGGCTTGGCTAAAGAGGTCACATGCTCAGAGGGGGACTCAACGGGAGAGCTGAGACACAGCAGTGTGAGCAACAGTCAAGTCCTGTGTACTTCAAAGTCATTAAGAGAGTTCTTTGTGTCTGTGTGCTTTGAAGTGCACGCTGACGCTGACGCACGGGATGGAGGTCAGCCTGGTTGAGACTGAGACAGCTGCACCAGGATCCACGTAGGAAGTGCAGGTGGCGGTGTGACTGCAAGCCCATCACAGAGGTCTCTGTCCTGCGATGGAGGAGGTAAGCAAACAGCTGTAGGTTTCTCTACTGGAAATCTCAGTGAAGAAGTAAGGCTTGGGGCTAAACTTCCACAGCATCCTGCTCAGAGCTAGGATGAGTTAAGTATGGCCAAAGCTGCCTAGAGGCAAAGAAACCTCCTTTTGCCCCATGGGGGAGGGGAGGTAACAAGCCATTTGCTGAGACACACATCTTCCCACTCTGCAGATCTGTCTTTCCCTTTCAGGTTTCTGGGCCCCAAGAAATAGTTTTTCACATGGGGGAAGAGGAACCTGTGATCCCAGGTTGGTGGATGGCCCTGATGGGGTGAGTGGGGAGACAGGTTGGGTGTGATTTAGCCCCATGGAGTTCCTATACCCCAGGATTCAGAGCAGAGCTAAGCTTGGGAATCCTGATCTGTGTAGTGTCCCCAAGGACAGCTGCACCCCCTCACCTTGACTTCCTCTGTCTACTATTGCTTTTGCTACATACCCCATGTCTCCAATTTTCCTCCCAAGCCAGGAGGCCCAACCCCACTGTATGCTGTGTCCAACAAATCAGGAAAGGATCTTTCCTGTGAGGACTTTTTTTTTTTTTTTTTAGATTATCACAGCCAAGTCTGTTTTTGCCTGACAGAATGGTGCCGGCAAGCTGGAGAGAGAAAAAAGAAAATGTTCATCAGTTTGGCTGGACTGCTGAGTTGGCACTGTATTTCAGAAAGGTGAGTGGGCCTTGCCCAGGCTTGCAGCACAGTGGTCTCATACGACATTACTGGTAGCTACTGAACTAAGTTATATCCAGTGGCTTACCTTTGGGGCCAGGCCTAGATGGAAACCTTCATCACCACTGGGCTGGGAGTGTCAGCCAGTCACATCAGCTGTGTTCCTTTTGTGTGAGTTGCCTGTCGTGTTGTGGGCACCTTCCTAGTGGAACACTTCTCCCTGTAATGAACAGCTGCCCACAGGAGGCTGCATGCAGGGGCAAATGTGTGGACTGTTTAGTGTCATTAAGCCCACTGAGAACCAGCCTCTAGGAGAAGACAGGTTTCAGGGGTTTGGTCTAACCTTATTATTGGCCAGGCTACCTCTATCTCAAGCACAGTTGTCACCAACCCTGCCTGACAGAGAGGAGCAAATGTTACTGAGAGAAGGCAGTGGTGTAGCTTTGGAGAGACCCTGGGGCCATCTGGGGAGGTAGTAGGTAGCATATCTCCTCTTTGATCCTGTCCCAGACCTTTGTGGAGGAGCTAGTGTTGACAAGGGTAAGCAACCTCTCCCTGGAACCTACATGGGCATGACAGCCATTCTGTACCTCAAAGGTCCAAAATTTGCTGAAGGAAGACCCAGACTCAGATAGTATACAAAGACAAAGAAGATTTATTTTGCAGAAACAGCCAGCATGCAGGGGTCAACCATTCCTCAAAATGGCGACCCCAGACAGAGGTATGCAGGCCTTCTTATAGGATTAGGTAGTCTCTAACGTAATTGGTAGGGGCCAAACAGTGACATTAGTTCAACTTTGATGGGCTACTATGTTAGTCCTATATTTAGAGAGCAGGTTAAGTAATCAAAATTTCATTGGTGGGTGTTGGGGAGGTCACAGAGGTCTGCTTCTGATTGGCTTGCGCCAGGCGGTCAGTGGTCTGCATTCCTGTGTCAGGAACGTTTAACCACAGGATGAGATAGGGCTGCCTAGCACAGATGACCCATCCTTAGATGTTTCCCCATTTTCGTGGTTATCTTCAGGCTGTTCCTGGAGCTGGTGACTTACTGCCTAGTTCCTGGGACTGGTCCTAAAATGGAGACAAATGGGGTTTATGTCATCCTTTCACCAGTGGCCACCAACTCCATCTTCTTTGGATTCCACAAGTGAGCCTAACAGCCTAGCACAGGAAACAGGTCAGAGATACTGAACAGCTTGCTCGTGGGGCCAGAGCAGGTTTAGGTCAGCAGGTAACTACCGAGTCAGGCCTTTAGTCCTACTGTGTATTCATGATGCTAGGGCATGGGCAAGGAAGAGACTTGCGTTCTGGCTCCCAGTCATGTATCAGGCTCCTAGGAAGGATAGTCCAAATGGATCATGGGCTCTCACACCAGCTAGTAATCTTCCAAAAAGAGGGTGTGTCTCAGGGATGTAGAAAAGGCACTACCCAGGAGGCTTAGTGACTTCCTGTGGCATGGTTGGTGTCTGTCACTGCTGCTCTGGAGAGTGCTGTTGCCTTTGCTACCTGAGAGAAGTAGTCAGATGAAGAATGAACCACCAACCTAGCACCCATGCCCAGTTTGTAGATTTCTCACTGCTGGAGGGAGCAGGTGGGGGTCACAGGGGAGGACAGCAAGTCTCAGGGATGCCTGGTGGCTTACTCATCAGGATGAAGGATGCTTGGTCTTGGCAGCTTGAGTTGAGAGCCACACCTTCCTTTGGCCCCAGCCCAGTGTGGTAGCTCTGAGGCACCATCCTTTCTCTCGATTCTGCAGCTGTTCCACGAGCTGTGTTGTGGAAGATGATTTTTCCGTGTGTCTTCAACCTGCCCAGCTGTCCAAGTGTGAGGTGAGCAATCAGAGAGCGGAGCGCCCAAGCTTAGGCACTGTGGATCTGGAGCTGTTTCTGCTAATCTGTTCATAGAGCCGCTGCCAGAACAGAAAACACAAAGGCATCCTCTACAGGCATTGTAGTCCCTTTTAGCCCCAGTGACATGTGTAACGAACTTGCTGTTCTCTGAAGAGGCCATAGACTCTGGCCCTGGAGAATGTGGGGTTTCTGCTCTCTTCTCCATTTCTTAAATTCCCTCCCTTTTGTAGGTACTTGGTCACTTTTTATAACATAACATAGCCAGGAGTTTCCCAGTCTGAGGCCCTGTGCTCCCTACTGCTCCCCAGTGATGATGGAGAGCACCTCCTATTTTCCTTTTACTGGGGAGACCAGTAAGTCATTTCCTGAGGCTCTGAGCAGCTCATGGGCTCTGGTTGAAATGTTCTGGGTGATGATGTGGTCTTTCTTCCAGTATCCAACTAAAGACCAGAGCTGTTCCTCATTCACCATAAAATCTGGGGTCTGCATGTGGGTCTCCTTGTTCAGACTTCCCAGTGCCCCTGATTTGACTGTATATTTCACAGTGTAGGTCACCCAGGCTTGTCTGAACTCACAGATGCTTCAGAAAACCTGCCTAAACAGATTAAGAAAGTGTCTCAGTGGAGCCGTGAAGTGAGTGCATGTCTGTGCCGGGATGCTGAATTGGATCTCCTGAGGACAGTGACCATGGACTCCCTGTTCCAGGGTGCAAATGCTAACGTGAAGATGGAAACTTGGGGCCTCTAGGTACTGTCATCGGTATCATGTAGATAGAATTTGTAATTACGTAGACTGTAGTCCTGAAGTAGGAACCCGACATAATTTGTATAAATTTGCATTTATGCATGACTGAGAGCAATATAAAGGGACTTGGATGCCCTTCTTCAGCAGCACAATTGTTCAGGTGACGTTTCATCTGTAGACTTCGCAGAATGACAGTCTGATGCCCAACATATCACATGGAGCAACTAGGCTTAGACCAAGAAGAGATGGACATGATTCCTCAAGATTGTGCACTTGAGGTTCTGGCACTTACCAAGAGCCTCAGTGATATAGCAAGTGCTAAGGGGAAGGGACAGAAACCTGACACATGGAAGTGACCACAAAGCCCAGCAACGGACCCACTTAAATGACTAAAAATCTTTCACATGGAAGCAATCATAAGAGAAGCTGTTCTTGGAAAGTAGACAGCCTAGAGCTGCCACCCCACCCCACTCCACATACACTGCTCGATATGAACACACCCTGCTACTGCCCCATGACACACCTAGAACAACCCCACATACTAGTTATCAAAGTCTGCTGCCCCTCCATACCTATTCCTCTCAACAACAAACATCAGGACTGAGGACCTGTGGGGCATGTCTTCCCTTTGCTGATGCTTCCCAATAGCACTGCCAGTTGGGCAAAGGTGGGAGAGGATAGCAGGGGATTAAACAGCATTAATTCATGAAGTTCATCTTCCTGTTGATCTATAGGACATTTGCCCGATAGGGTGGGCTGAGGCCCAGGAATCATCAGGCTATGTAATAATGACAGGAAAGGAAGATCAGCAGCGAGAAGCCATCCCTGGGATGAAGTCTCTGGGCTATGCCTCTCCAGAGTGCACCCACGATAACCATGCAAAATGGCGGACCATCTCTAAGAAACTCACTGGCTTGCCATAGCCTTTTCTAGATGGCTTTTGACAGGTGACAGCTCACAAAAGCTGGGAACCTGGAGCACACTATACAGCCTGCAGACAGCTCAACTGGTTGGAGAGTGTCCATTCCAAGGAACTCAGTTGGGCTTAATCTCTTCCAGGTAGCTCTGGGTTTCTGCTTCTTTTCAGGCATCTTGGCTTGTTTACTCTTGGGATGGAGGGGCCCAGTTAATCTGGTCAGTTGTAGGGACTTCCTGAAGCTATTTTGAGTTGTTTACTCTCTGTTTAGGTAGCTTCCCTTGCACAGGTAATGTTTCAGTTTGCCTTGTCTAAAAAGGCTGTCTGAGGCTAAATTGAAGCATCTTGGATTAATGGATTTGCAGGGAAATACTAAAAAGGATGGCACCAAGTTCCTGTGCTACACCCTGGTACGCAGTGGCCGGCCTGTTCTTATCTCATGGAGACTCTCCATGAATCCAAAATCTCTCCATCCAGCTCCCTAAGTTCCCACTGGCGGTTGCCACCATGCCAGCCCCATGCTTCAAAACCCCCATGGCCTCTGTGGTGCACATCAGGCAAACCCACGCCTTGCTGCTGTACCTTTCTCTATAGAGCCCCCACCACACAACACAAATTTAGTTCAGAAACAATGGTAACTCAATCACTGGGTGCAACAACTAGAATCCTATAAATCTAAATCCTCCAGTGGCAAATCCTGGTGGATCCACCATTGAAACCTGAAGAGACTAGCTACATAATGTCCTTTCGCTATCCCAGTCCAAAGCCCCCATCTCTCTCCCTACTTCTTTTCCCGTCCAACCCGGAAGTCCCCCTTACTGGCCCAGTGATTGGTCCCTTTATTCATTTGGGGAAGGTTCACTAGAAGTCACCTGAGTATGTGACTCATTCCTTGTTCCAGATAGCCCCTCCTGGGAAAGTAGAATTAGCATCAAAATACAGGCAGCAACAGGGCCATCCACAACAGGAGTTGGCAGAGGAAATATCAAAACAGTCCAGTATTGACTCTGACATGTGGTTATTAGTGTTCTGAAGTGGAAACTTATGATTTCTTTGTAAAGTCAGTTATGTCAAATGATGTTTTGCTGAAGAAGACACAGGTGAAAGGATGGTTTGCTATAGCAGACTCGTGAAAGGCCATGTGATGAGGAATAAATGCAACCCCACAGACAGGGGGAGCTCCACCAGTGGTTTGCTTTGCTCCGCCTTGCTAGTCTTCACTAACAACACACGTGTTGCTTCGCCTCCTATTGTGTTGTTGAGCTCCGCTTGTGACATCAGAAATTGGCCAAAGAACTTCTCATGAGGTTCCTGCGACTTCTTGCCACTTCTGTTGCTTTGTCTTGGGCCTTGTAGCTTCTTCAGAATTGAACTGTAGCTCCTGATTCCGAATAAGTGTTTGCTATGGGACTTAACTGCTGATATCCTGATGATGATGAAGATTTCTAAGCAGGTCTACTTCCCCCATGTCCTAATAACTTTTTTTCCCACTACCTCTGGTGGGTGGTGGGCTAGAGTTTTGAACCCTTATTAAAGTAGGTTGGAAAAAACTATGCCTACAGTGTTCACTCCTGTGAAGATCAATAATGAGCATGAGCAAATTGCGCAAGTAAAAATACAAAATGTACAAATCGAGGAAAAAGGGGCACCAGGAAGTAGAATGGAGCCAAGCCCTGTGTTCAAGGAAATAAACATATTAACAAAAGTCCTTTATGTTAAATGGAGTAAAGGGAGTGGTGACCTCAGGGCAAGACTCCCACCCAGCCTGATCTTAGTAGCCAGTGCAGTCACCTCAGGCCATGGTTAAGTCCTGGCTTATGCTGCCACCCAGGGACATGTCTGGGTCCATGGCCCTGAAGCCGTGGGCCTTTGTTACCACCAAAGGACAAGCAGGCATCCCTGGTCTAGGTGGCAACCGGGGCCATGTTGATGTCTGAGGGTTGTGCAGAGCTGCCCCACCCCTTACCTGGGCTTTGTGAGAAAGCTGGCTCTCAAGGAATGAGACCTGGAGAGCTGGCCCCTCCCCTTGCCAGCTGCAGTACTTGGCAGAGTGTTCCCCCATCCTCCACCGCATATGGTCCAGGAAACATGGTAAAGCTCCCTTTAAGTGGAGTAAAGGGAGTGGTAACTAACATGGTTCTGAAAAGTCAAATCACCCTAGCTCTGTCCTCTCCTCTCCTATTAGGCTCCCGTAGCCTTCTCTTGCCATGGCACCCATGCAGTTTCCCAGTCTCATAGCACTCAAATGCCTGCGATGCCTCTGCAGGTGAAGACTATCCTGGGAGGCTACTGCTAGCAATCACCCACCAGACACCTGCTGAGATGGTGTCTGCAGAACTGAACTCAATCTCTTGAGTGCAACAATTAGAATCTTATAAGCCATATAAATCTAATTCCTCCAGTGGCGAATCCTGAGGGATCCGCCAGGAAACGGGGAGACAGTAGCGGCTACATCTTGCTCTTACCCTATTCCCTATCCAAAAAGGCCTATCTCTCTCCTGCTTCCTCTTCCGCTATCTAACCTGGAAGTCCTTCCTATTCACCTAGTGATTGGCTCCTTTATTCATTAGGGGGATGGTACACAAGTCACGTGACTCTGTCCAAAGCTTCTCCCAGGAGTGTGGAATTTACACAAATACAAACAGCGCTGGGCCCATCCACAACACTTCCCACTTTCTGTTCACTTAAGACTTTTATCTCACATATAAGTTGAACACAACTATTACTCTTTTGTAAGTTATCAAGTACAAGATAGACCTAACATTCGGTCCATCATTTTTGTCAATACCATCTATCTTAATTTAAAAGACTATAATTCTGCTCTTATGTCCTGGCTTTAGATTGTATGCCATCTGAAAACCATCCTCTCAGATCTGTTCTCTCAAAGTAAGTAGCCTGGATTGGCTATGAGACTATAAGTAGTTTTTCAACCCCGTCAGAAATCCAAGAATGACAAACCTATCTGAAGATATAGGAAGCCTAACATAGCTTCCAAAATTGAGATAAATGGTAGAGACAGCTGCCTACCTATACAGCCCCAGTAAGTCAGGAAATTGGAGCATCCGTCTTCAGTCTTCTAGCCCAGGATCATCTGACAGACCTTTGAAAAACAGGAGTTTTTAAGGACTAGCCTATTCTGTCTCAGCAGAACTAAGCTGTTTTAACCTGTAAATTGTGTCCTTTTTCTGGACAGTATTTTGTCTGTAGATAAAATGAGGCAATTCTTGCCTAGTGGCTGTCTCACCACAACTGGAGCAACTCCATTGACGCTCAATTTCTTTGAATCCAAGAAAGGGAATGCTGTCAGGAACAGACTTGTCTCAACAAGTGAATTAATAACATTAAATGTCCCATTCTGAGGATTTCTGACGGTTTTGAAAACCAACTATCTATG